TATTTGAACATTTCTGCATCAGAATCACTAATGGTACGTACACACCGAACACATTTTGAGCTGCAGGAGCAGTCATCTTACATGCAAAGTCTATGGTGGACATACCTCTAGGGGTCTTGCGGCGCGTCAGGTCCATTTAGCACGACGCACAAGGAACGCAGAAGGCAGAGTATTTTCCGTGCATGCGGTGCGGCAAAAGCAGCCGACGCCCGAGTTCAAAAATCTGATCTTTCGCCACTCGACTTGTCTTGACAACCAATCAGAGAGACTCATTTCTCTATGTGACAGTTTCCTGAATGTTGCCCACAAGCAGACGAACAGGAGCTCTTTAGCTGAAATCGACCGTCTGTAGTTGATGTTCTGGTCGGACAGATGTGAGTCAGCAGCTCGTTAAACTGGGCTAAATGAATGCAGACCTTGCACAATCTACAAGTGCAGCTCGTGATGCAACATTCTACAGCCATCTCTCTAAGGTGCACTTTTACACTGCTCATTGTGCCAACATCAGAGAATCCCCTAAACATTTATCTGTCCATATAAAATCCATAAATATTCTGGCTGTCTCTGTCCAAATCTGTCCTAAATCTGTCCAAAAACAGTCGACATAAAATCCGTGATTGAGAAAACAGTTTTTCAGGGCTGTTTTACACCAAAGGAAAGAGCAGAAAACACGTCAGAATGGCCGAGCGGTCCAAGGCGCTACGTTCAGGTCGTAGTCYCCAATGGAGTTGTGGCTTTAAATCCCACTTCTGTCAACTTGTTTTTCTTTACAGTTGTTCTTATGTTTACTGAAATTCTTTTTTACATCACCGTCTGCACTTTTTCTTTTCCCTACTTGTATCAAATGTTTGTATAAATTATTTTTAGCTGATAAATAAATGTAAACTTGGCACATCTTTATAGTCTTTCTTGTAATAATCATGAGAGACATGGATGACAAAGTTCTTTGTTTTTTATCATTTTTGTCACTATTTTACAACATCACAAAGGGCCATTTCATCTGCTGTCATTGGCCAAATTTGTTCTATTAGTGATACAAAACTATTCTGTATTTATAAATATTCAAATTGTAGTAATTTCTCCCAAGCATTTGCTTAAGTCATCTTTCCTATTCCAGGGGCCTCATRTATCAAYGGTGCGTACGCACAAAAACCTTGHGTACGCCATTTTCCACGCAAAACTCCRGATGTATCAAAACTCAACTGAACGTGGAAATGTGCRCAACCCCACGCCAACTCCAGGGCTGGCGTACKCACGTTTCTGGGTTTTGGTTYCAYTGGCGACACTTAGAGGTGATTCTGAGAAACTGTTCATGATGTRAAAATGGTTTTTGTTCACACCAGACACACGTGATTAACAATTATTACACCCACATGGACGCAGGTAGATAAAGGATGTGCAAAGTTGTGCCAAAAATACATTTAACAGGAACTGATTCAGCCTTAATGGAGAATATAATAAATAATGTAACACGCAGAACATTTATTTATAAACAGATAGAATTTTCTGATCCATGATGACGGGTGGCTCATCAGCCGTTTTGAGGAAAAATCCCCAGGTCTTTACACTTTAAATTCTCTTCCTTTTCTAATATCAGCTTGTCTTCTCACACATAAATCCAGCCATCATCTTCCTTTGGCACAGAGCAGTGATAAAACATAATATAAGGAGAATGAAAATGTCACTCCTGGCTTATTGGTATATCTTTGCTTTTTACAGATGAGGCAAGGTTTTGTTATTAAAACGGTTGCCTGAAACTGCTTTCACACTGCCTCACATAGTCTCAGAAAACAAGTTGCTTTTCTAGTCTTTGTTAAATTAAAAATAATGCTTTGTTGTTGGCATTGAGAATAAAATTGTCCCATTATTTACAGCATCTTTTTGTCTAAAAACAGTATATTTAGACACTTTTCAGTGTTATTTAGACTGCCCATTACATTTGAAGCAGATGCTTTTCTCACTAAAAGATGCTGTTTGCACTAATTAYTGCCAGCGAAGACGACTCTGACATTCGGGAGCAACAGTAATGTAAGCTCTCTCTTCAACATATTTACAGTTTCTAAGATCAAGTCACCAGCATTGCTCTTCTCTCTCCTTGGCACRTTTACACAAGCTATATGTTATTTGGATGATTTTGAGGGCAGAGTTGATGATGAAGAAGCACTGAAAAACCAGCGTGAGTAAAAATCTGAGTGCAATGCTGAGCTGCACAGAAAATTATAAATGGGGTTGAAGAGAAAAAAGGGGGGGACATTGAGACCAATTTACCAATTTTACCAGTCATTAACTGATAGCTTTGTTGGGTCATTAGCTGAGTCTGTCCTGTAAGCTGGTCTCATGGTGCAGGATGAAGAACACCTGCTGAAGGTGGCAGATGGCAGAATAAAGAGCCCAGAAATAGATGTCCATTAGGGGCATGGTAGCTTATTTCRTCTCTGCTCCATTTTTCTTTTTAATCATTTAAAAACAGTGTAATGAAGAGTGTGTCATCACTGACAAAATGGTATTTAAAAGTCCTAAAGTGGGGGGAAAATGTTATAAAGGTGTGGAAACTGCTAGGCTCGTTTATATTTTAAGAAATTAAAACTTCATCAATATTTAAGACTAATCAATAACAAATATTCCTTATATTAACATGTATCCTGCAATGATATGATGGTTGGAATGTAATTCATCCAGATTTAAACAATTGATCTTGTCAGACAGAATTTAATCAGTGGGCAGTAAGCTATACGATGCAATAGCCACAGTATATAGACAAGCTTTAAATGAAAGAAAACACTGAAAACATGATAAAAAAAATTGGCAGTTTTGTTATCATGTGGAAAGTTAATGCCTCGTAGCTCGTCATAGATGTGATTGCTACGGAGCCCGCGAGGAGACATTGGTGGATTATTTTTCTCTTTGCGTTCCCACGCAATAACTTTGCGTTCCCTCGCAATACTTTTGCGTTACCTCGCAATGCTTTTGCGTTCTCTCGCAATACTTTTGCGTTACCTCGCAATACTTTTGCGTTACCTCGCAATACCTTTGTGTTCCCTCGCAATATTATTTTGCATTCCCACGCAAAAGTTTGTTTTGAATATGAACTGAATTAAATCAGACTTTTATTTTGAAATATCCGGTTACCAAATCAGGATGTGTCACCACAGTTCGTGAAATTGACATGGATGTTGCGTGGCTGTACTGTGTTAAAATATCGGCATACAACATACTTTCATGCGTGGCTGTGTAATATATTCATTCTAAAGCTGAATCAGCAGTAGCAGTAGGCTAACTCGCTAATGGGGAACATGTGAATTTGTTAATAAGCCGGCAGGCACAACAGTGTAAGAAACTCGTCCACCGAATTTCTCCACCTTCYCAATTAACGAGTTCTTTTAAGTGACACACATATAAACAAAATGTGTGACAGCTTTCACCCTCACTTGTTAACGTTAAGTTGATCAGTAACATTTATAGACCTCAGTTAGTGCTTCTAAATTCAGCCTATACGTTTAGCAAGTGCTAACCCACTAATAAATTTTAAAATTAGCAAAAGCCCTAAAGCACTAATCAGGAAATTAGTTCCCCTATTAGTGCTTTAGGGGAACTGTGTCCACCACTGCTAGTATCCATCAGTCATAATTCAGTGAGTTACTGGCTTTACATTTGTTGAAGAGGTGGGAAATATTTGGTCATTTCCCACCAGGAGAAGATCTGGGGAAAAACACAGGAGTTGCTGGAAAGAATATGTTTTACAACCAGCCTGAGAACAACTTAAACCTCCCTCTTTGTAATTTGAGAAAATAGCTAGGAGAGAGAGGACCGAGGATCTCCGCTTCAGCTGTTGCTCCTGCAAACCAGTTCAAATAAARCAGGAAATGAATAGTTGTTTTACTTGTGAGTAGACAAAACCTTTTGTACTCAGCACTAAACATAAAATGAGAAACTGAGCTTTTCAAAACATTTTTTAACCCAGAACGCTCAACAAAGAYTTGGCAGACATATCTTTTTACACTGAACCTCATTCCTTTAGTCGTTTGTTATTTGTGCTATCTTTCTATGGTTGTTTTGTGGTTCTGCACAAAGTCCTCCAAGAATTCTAGAAATGAGTAAACAGAACCCTCTGTCAATGTTATAGGGTCCTGAGCTTTGTTGGCTTCTCGCTCCATTACCGTCCTGGTCAGAGCTGACACATGCTTTTCGTCTGCTATCGCTCTGCCTACTCTTTTATTTCTATATCTGCACGTTGGCCAAAGCACAAAGAGCGCAGCGGTTTGCCGAGGAGCATCCTGTAAGCTGGGATGCAACAGAGCACAGAAGCCTGCCAAGCGTTGGCCAAGAAAAGCAAAAAGCACAGGAGGGATTTAGTCAAGTGCTCATTTAAATATGAGTGAGCAACAGACTGTTGAATTTGAATGAGCTTATAAAAGGAAGACTGAGTGGGATGAATTTCAGTTTCAGGGCATTACATGTATTCCCTGTTTTTGTCTTCACCCCTCACTTCCTTCACCTCACCCACCAGCCTCCCAGAGGTGAGATAATGACTCCTGACAATGAGCAGTGGGGGAGGAAGTCGGTCGCCCGTTGCCACAGTGGTTCTCATGGCACGGCTGCTCCTCCCCACCAATTTGTCTGTGAGCACACATGCAGTCACACCAGCAAACACAAGATCTGGACTAACAAAGCCTCATATCTGAGCAGCATCTCAGCAGCAGCTTCCACTGCAGTGGTACGCACTGCACCCTTGAAACCTCCTGATCAGATCTCAGTCTTCACAGCGAAAGCATCCATACATAAATATAAATATTGTGTGTGTGTTTTGGTAGCCTTTGGGGATGGCTTTATAAATCTTCAAAGCTAACATCAGCAGCAGGTGGAGGGAAGGAGGGAGAATGAGACAGATGGAGAAGAAACGGTGGTGGGGGATAAAAACAAACTCGGAGGGTGGGAGAGCAGATTGAGAGAGGCAGAGAGCGGAGGGTGGGAAAAGAAAAGAGTGGGATGAGAGTAAAGAAGGAGGGGAGATTCATCCAGTGAGACAGAAGTTTCAGCTCTGCGCTTCAGCACACAGCCAGAACAGCGGATAACAAACATACATACAGGTGAGGCATTTTCATTTGTTTCTGTGAAGTGATTTTCTAACATTTCTATATGCTCACAGTGGATGTTCAGGCGTAAGTGATGGAAAGAAGTTCAGCTGCAGCTTAAGTTGAGAGTGTAAAGGCATGGAGCGTTCATATCGGAGCATTAGCAGAGAGTTTCTGGGGGCATATTAGCCATTCAAAATTCTTTTTTTCCACATTTTCGTCTTTACCAAGTGCAAGAGCAGATTTTCCAGATGAGCTAAAAGAAGGTGTAAATGTTTCTGCTGTATTCAGGGATGGTGTGAAAGCACTGTACTGTTTCTATGAGCGTTTAGCAGTCATTCCACATCTGAGCAGCATGCATTATTTATCTCCACTGATCTTCAGAAACAGCGATACCGCTTCAGGGACAAAGAGAGAAACGTATACAGTGGAAGTGTTAGGATCGTTGGGTAGGTGATTGTTGGAGTGAGGTGTGTTGTGTGTGTGTGTGTGTGTGTGTGGGGTGGGGGGGGTGA